AGGGGCTGCCTCACGCCCCACGGGCGGGGAGGACCCCCTGGGGGCTGCTTCCCAGTGTGCTGACAAAGCCAGTGACACTCTCCTCCTTGCTCTCTGGGGTGTCTCACCACCCTGTCCTGCTGATCCAGACCCTCTGGTCTCCTCCAGCAATAGCACAGAGTTGGGGACTCAGCCCATAGCAGAGTAAAACAAACACTCAGCTCAGCTCTGGGAAGGCTCAGTCAAATGGGCTTGACATGGCATTCAGGTGCACATCCCCAGTGGGATCAGAATCCCAGCTAAATACACTTTACTCTGTATTAAGTTTTACACAAAGCGAGCTCATAAAATGTTCACCCCCTTTTTTCAATGAATGTGAGATATGGACAGCTGTTTCCCCCTCAGGTAACAATTATTTACACAGGACTGAATATAAACAAGTGCTTTTGTTAAGTACAAAAAGTAGGATTGAAGCAATTGCAAATAATACCAGACAGATCAAAGTAAGTTACTAAGCGAAGTAAAACAAAACACACCAGCTAAATCCAGAAGCACCAACAGACCTTCTGGGTCCCTGGGAAAGGGGAGAGGGAGCAGGGCCATGGGTGGAAGGGACGGAGCTGGGGCAGCTGGCCCTCAACACTGCAGTTGTCCCATTTCCCTTCCCTGTTGGTGGGCCTGGCTTAGCCTAATACACTAGGAAATGTGTTACATACAATATTTTGCCCTAGCCGTAGTTCTAATCGTCCTTTTTCACAGGCTGGACTGCCTCCCAGACTGGGCTTGATCGTCCCCCTTATTTAGTCTTAGATGTTTCTAGCAATCATCTTGGGTGGTAAGGAGGGGCGTCCTTATGTCTGCCAGCAGCCCTTATTGTTTAGTTTCCCACCTTTATATCTCTTTTGCCAAAGATGGGAATTCTTTGTGTTCACTTCCAACTTCTTCATGCTTCCAGTGGAAAAATACAGCATCCAAAATGGGTTTCAGCATCAGGCCTTGGCAGAACCAGGGTCACCGATGGGATGGGGGGAGTAAGAAAAGGAGACAGTTGCCTGGAGTGCGGGCCCTTTAAAGCACTGCCGGAGACCCACCCAGAGCAGTCTACATGGTGCAGAGGGCTGGCTGTCCCTACTGACAAGGTTCCACTCCTTTTGCTGGTTCTAGAACTGAGCCTCCTCTAACATTGCCCAGGGCCCAACCAAGTCTGTTGCCAGCCTTGAACAGGACCACCCATAGTCCAGGCTAACAGGGAAAACAAAACTATTCACAGATCATTGTTCTGAGTACTGGACCATTCCGTTCCTTGAGTATTACTAATGGCCCTTACTTAGCATGTCTAGTTTAGTAAAATAGATTTATATTTCATATTTCTAACTTCAAATGCAGGAATGATACATGCACACAAAGAGCATGTCTACACAGCAGCGTTATTTCAGAATAATGTCAGTTATTCCGAAATAACAGCACGCGTCTATACAGCAAGCTCATTATTTCAAAATAAATTCGAAATAACGGGCTTCTTACTCTGACTTCTGTAAACCTCAATGCATGAGGATTAAGGGAAGTTGGGGAAAGAATGCTTTATTTCAAAATAACTGCTCTGTAGACAACATTAAGGGTACGTCTACACTAGCCCCCTAGTTCGAACTAAGGAGTCTAATGTAGGCATTCAAAGTTGCAAATGAAGCTGGGATTTAAATACCCCAGCCTTTATTTGCACCTTCCCGTCCGGGCACCATTTTTAAATCCCCTTAGTCCGAACTAACTGCCCGCTGCTACACACGGCAGTCAAACGTTAACTCGAACTAAGTTGTTAGTTCGTGTTAACTGTTGCACCCTACCTTTGAAATGGCTGCTCCTGCTGCCCAGACCTGCCTTGGTGGCTTGTCTGCAGGGAGCAAGTGGCCTGCCAGTGCCAGGCTGTGCGCTCCCACCTCAGCCCAGTGCCCTCCTAGCGTGGTGCCCAAGGGCAACTGCCCTCCCTCGCTATGCCACTGATGCAGGGGGGCTTTTGGAGCAAAGCTTATTGTGCCGCTTCACCGCCTTTTAGCTCCTCTCCGCAGTGCCACGGGGAAGGGGCGATGGGGATGCATTGTACTGAGCTGCTGGCGGGGGTGGGGGCAATGAGCATCTCCAGGTTCAGCCACCTTCCTGCTGGAGCATCCCGGGAAGGCTACGAGAGAGAAAATGAACTTGAGAAAGCCCTGGCTGGGTTGATTTAGTTGGGATTGGTTCTGCCTTGGGCAGGCGGCTGGACTTGTTGATCTCCTGAGGTCTCTTCCAGCTCTATGATTCTAAGAGAGGCAGCAGTGGAAGAGATTTTTTTTTTCTCCCCGTCCAAATCTGCCCCCCAACTTGGAACTGCTCCAGGTCTCACCAGGGCTGCCGTAGCTGCAGCCATGCGCTTTTCTCACCAGCACTGGGGTGTGCGCAGAGCTGCTGTTAACATCCAGGCACGCAGCTCTGAACATTCAATTTGACATACACGTGCCACTTCCCCCTCCCTGATCCCCTTTGCAGGGCAAAATCCCAGACATTTTTTGCCAAATTTCACTAGCGTTGATGTACCGATGTGTACCACAGGCTGAGGAACACTGTTATAGGCTGCAACTGGTTTTAATGGAAGGTGGTGGGAGATGCCTGCTCTTCATGGGTGTGTTCACTGGAAGCTATTTGCAGCTCCGACTCGGTCATGAAGAAAATAAGATTCCTAATGGAGGTAACAGCTGAGTCACTTACGGGAGGAAAGGATGAAAACAAAATGTAGAACTAATTTCCAGGGAGTGGTCACCTCCACACAGTTGCTTCTCAGGGTGTGAAGCTGGGAGCTGAGCACTGAAATCACAGAGGCAACCCACTCTTGGCCGACCCTGCTGCTCCCATTTTCTAGTCAGAGTGTAGAATTGGGCTGGGTTCTCCAGCACTGGTCAGTCTCTGGGTCAGTGTGGTGGTGCTGGGCTGTGATTTCCAGGCTGGAACAGGGGAAGTGAAGGGGGTGGGGCTAGAAAGCAAAGCGGGGCCTTGAGTGTAAGTAAACCAATTAGTCACTGGAGTAGCTCTTCAACTCATGGTTTGCCCTTCTCCCCTTTTCCACGGAGCAAGAGGAGACAACTCATAGGAACCTTACACTCCCTCCATCACCAGAGAGCTGGGTGGGGGAGTCTTCTACTCTAATTCCCCCCTTCCAGGAGCTTGAGGCCTCCCTCTTGCTCAGAGGGGAGTTGAACGACAGGCTTAAAACGTCAGCACCTGGTCTACACTGCAGCTCTTACAGTCAATATCACTGGTGGGAAATCCCAGATCCCAATTTCCTGACTGTTGACACAGCTTTGGAGACCTCATTATAACAGGCATCATCTTTCCATCCCAACAGGGCTGAGGGTTACTTTCTACATGTGCAAGTCCTGTGAGGGGCGGCCTGTCCTTGCTCCTCCCCTATCCTCCGCCAGCACCTCCACAAGCCACAAAACTACTGATCTGAAGCAGGCAATAAGGAAAGGCGCTGAGCCACAGGGCCCACCAGTAAGCAGGTTGTGATGGGGGAGGGAAAGGCATTGATAGCTGGCTGCCTGAAGGCTGCTGAGTACCCAGCATTATTTCCGTGGACCTCAGAACACCCATGGAGTCGGTACCTAGGGCTGCCACTGCTGGAGAGTGAGCCCAAGCCCTGCACAACACACACACACACGCATGCACACACACGGAAGCGGCGCACCCAAAGCAGGAGGCCTGGAACAGCCTCCCTGATTTGCCGTACCCTAGGGACGGCTCTGCTATCAGCTGCAGTGCATGAATAATGGCGGTAAATACCATACCTTGCCATCCTTATCTCTGCTGCTGGGGTGACTTTGCCTTCAGAGCTCAGATCCCAGCCAGCGACCAACATTCTCAGGCTGCTCAGCCCTGAAGGCAGCGCTGCCACCAGCATTACTGCAACCTCCTCCCCCCGCTACAATTATCTTGTGATACCCCTTCAGCTCCGATTTGGGCCAGGACCCCTACAGTTCCAACACGATGAAATGTTAGATTTAAACAGCTAAAATCATGAAATGTATTGTTTTAAAAATCCTGTGACCATGAAATTAATCAAAATAGAAAATGAATTAGGTAGGGCCCTATGCAGGATTAACAAACACTTCCCTGTGGCATGCACAGCTGTTGCAAAATACTTATGTTACTAAATAGTTCCTTAATCTGTCTTGGCATAGCATGTGTGGGTCCATCACAAGCCACCAAGTATTTTCCTTCATTTACAAATCTGATAAAGCCCTGCTCAACATGAAAGTGAAATTCTTCCTTTGAAAGAAGGACTCTTGAGGAAAGAGTTTTTTTCCTAGTTACATGGTTCTATTTCTGAAATATTCCACCCCAAGTAGAGGGATAACAGTGTAGTGAGAAGATAGAAGATCACCTAGGCTACGTCTTCACTGCGAGTTCTTCCAGGAGAAAATATCCTAATAAGGGACTCATTAGCATAAGTCATGATCTTATTAGCATATTTTCTGCGGTTTCTTTTCGCGCCAGGGGTTTTTGCACAAAAAGGAGCAGTGTGGACTGTTTTTTTTTTTTTTTTGCACAAAAACACCATTTTGCGCAATATCTTCCTGCCTCTCCGGTGTACAGGCATAAGGATCTTGCACAAAACGGGGGTTTAGCACAAAAAAACCCCCATCCATACTCCTTTTTGTGCAAAAACCATAGTTGCTTCCATAGTTTCTACTCCTTTCAGACCCCCTCTCTTTAATACACACAACAAGCAGCTTAACTTGACCCTTTTTCACAGATGCCAGATCCTTCTAATTTCTTCCTCCATCCCACTGTGAAACCCCAGTCCTTTCCCTGTCACTGAAATGTGTTTTAAGTCAATCAGCAGTCTTCCATAAACACTCCTGCTAGGAAGGGTGAAATGAACAAGGGAGACACCATCACTACACGTATACACAAAACAGATTCCCACTCCTTAGTGGTTATCTTTCACCTTTCGTAACTAACATATAGTCCTGTGAATAAGCCATACTCACTTTTTGATCGCAAAAACCGTGAGTCCTACAGTGACATTCCTTTGTCGGAACTGCTCATTCAGGATCTCGATGTTGTAGGTCCCTTCCCAAACTATTGGTGCAAACCATGGAGTCATCATAAGGACGTCATTTCTCCTGTGGAAGAGGAAGTTTTCTTTAGAATCACACTGTAGAAGTAAGAAATACGGAGGCAGTTGCCTTCACAACACTTAGAAAGACACTACCAGATCTGTGTGTTAAAGTTCAAAAATAGATAACTAAGGGTATGTCTACACTACAAAGTTAATTCGAACTAACAGATGTTACTTCGAATTAACTTTGATAGGCGCTACACATACAAACCGCTAGTTCGAACTTAATTCGAACTAGCGGAGCGCTTAATTCGAACTAGGTAAACCTCATTCCACGAGGACTAACGCCTAGTTTGAATTAACTATGCCCCCCTCCCGGCCCCGGACTCCTTAAAGGGGAACGGGCTGGCTACAGTGCTCGTGCCAGGTGCAAGCCTGCCAGCACCCAGCCAGTAGACCCTGCACCTGTCACAGCATGAGCAGGCCACCCGCTGCCACCCCGCCCCT